TTCATAGTTTTAATAAAATAAAATTGTCTAATATCTGAATGCTATATATTCTGTACTTGGATTTATATTAATAGCTACTTTTTAATATGTCTAATATATTATAAACAGTGGGCCTGGAGCTTTAATTTTATTATTTCTAACCACTACAACAATTCTAAAGGTAGGCAGGAGATAAAGAAATAAGTGAGAGGCTTAAATACCACACATAAGGTTACTTCAGTTTTATATGCAAATCAGATATTGATTCTCAAAGTGGGAAGAACTTCAGTTATTTCAGGGGAAGTAAAACTTTATGACAGATCAATATCTCTCCAAAAGGTTTAGATTAAGTCTTAAAGTCATGCATTTGCAGTTAGCTTTGTCAAAATAGACCTTTTAATTTTTCTTCAGGAACTATAGGAAAATGCAGTTTGAGATTAATTTTTATGGTTAACTAATTGCAGTAGCATGTGGAACTCTTTTGAAAAATATAATTTTGAAGGCATAATGTCATTGACTAATGAGCTTTGTCTATAGATAAGGAAAATAGTCAAATGAATTCACAACTAAAGACTCATATTTCCAAAAAATTTTAAATAAGTACAGAGTAGACTGAATAGAGTGACACTTTGTAGTGGCATTATCTGAAAAAATTGCTGATTGAATGATCTTTCATTTAGGTTGAGGGCCTAATGTTAAATACATTGGCATTTTTCTTCAACTCATATTGTAATGAGAGGATTAAAATCCATTATGGATATACATTATGCATATCTAATATATATTATATAATGTATACATAAAATATGTAATCAGCTTAATTCATACCAAATTGTACCTGCCTCTTTTATTGTGAAAGGATAAAATTTATATATCTTTCAATTTACATTAAGTACATGTATAGATGCTACAATATTTATAAGACCAATTCAGGAGGAAACAAGCTGTAAGTGGTTTAACAGATTCAACTTTGATGACTTACTTTAATTAATTTAAGATAAAAATGCAAATTGCTTCAGGACAGACACATAAATATAATTAATCAATAAGTATTTTATTAAAAGCTTATTATGTTCCTAGATCTGTGAACAGAATTGAATGAAATACAGAAGAAATACTCTATCAGTTAAGGTATTTCTAGCTGCTATAGATAAACCCTAAATCTCAGTGGCTTTATACAACAGAAATTTATTTCTCTCCCACATCATGCCATAAAAAGGCACTTTTCACTGACAGCTTGTTCTTTTGGTTTAGGAACTCAGGTCTCTACCAAATGTTTATTCTTCCCTTCTTTATTGTGTGGTTTTCAAGGCTACTCTTCTGCTTCATGCTGGAAGGAGAAGGGACACTGAGACTCTCCTGTGAAAGGTTTTTCTGGGAGGGAGGTGGTGGTGGTGGGGCATATCCCTTCTGCCCTCTCTTTCATATTCCATTGGCTAGAACTCAGCCATGAGAACGCCAGGTAGACTACTCCAGACCAGGGGAGGGAGCGCCAGTTGACGGCATGGGCACTATTCCTCGACTGTGTGCTATGTGTCTTTACTTCTGGCCTTCTCTGCTAGATTGTCCCTGTGACAAAAAATGGCGGAACCGTAGAGTCAAGACAACTTGAATTTGTGTACTAATTTTTCTACTTTATATAAGCTTAGGCAGGTCATTTAAACTTTATATGCATTAGTTCCTTATCCATAAAATGATAGCTATGTGTCTAAATAAGAATAATTCCAGGTCTACTATTCAACAATTGTATATCTATCATAGAGATTCCTCTATGCTCTCCCAGACTATCTTCTTTTTGGGCACAGATGTAGACTACATTTCCCAACCTCCCTTGCAGTTAGGTAGGTCCAAATGCAATTGTATTGGGGGTTAGAGATTAACAGATAATCTTTTTTTTTTTTTTTGGTGGGGAGAGCTAAATTCAGTCCATAGCAGTTACTAACATTTAAAAATAAGAAAATTTCACAAGAGTTCAGATTTCTGGCTTCTGTAAAAGATAAACAGCTGCAGGATTTGACCACACTGGAGTTTTATTAGCACATGAGAAAAATAAGCTTGAGGGTGGGATCAAAGCTTCCTCTATTTGGGCATGCTTTTACAATTCACCACAGTTCCCACCTTATGATACCTGCTTGGCTACTATAAGCATTTAATTTTGTGATCCTTCAGTATAGAACATCTTGAAAGTGCTTTAGAGTTTTGGTGTGTAAACCTACAAATTTTGAATATATCTCCTTTTTATCTGCTTGAGGAACCTGGAGGTTTTATTATTATTATTATTATTATTTTGTAGATGAGTTTCCTTGTGAGTAAGCTTCAATGATGTGGCAAATTCCTTGTCCATAGGTAGCATTTACTCATAGCCCAGTAAATTAAGGCAAATATCTTCCGGACAGCATTTAAGTGTCAGGTAGTTATTTGGGTCCATAATCTACTGTCCAATCTTACTATATATAATTCTAAATATTTCTTTGTCCCTGGCTGTCTACTTATATTTATTTTATGTTTCCTCTAAGTTACTTCTCCATGTTTAGGTGCATTTATTTACAGATTTTACATAGTTTTAGACTATGCATTCCTACTGAACATACAGCAATATATGATTTTGTTTCTGTAAGAGATCAGAAATAGGAGTATACTCCCAACTGACATTTTTGTGACATTGAACGTATATCATAGCATCACAGGGCACTTAGGGCTTCATACTAAAAATCACTAACATTTGATTGTTCCATTGTAGCTTTCCATGTATTTCACTTCTTGGACCTACTACTATTGGAGACCCGGATAATAAACACTGAGTTCGTATACATCAGCCACCCTACCTTGGAAATTGTTAAGGATTAGGTATAGGAGGCAGCTTAGTTTTACACATAGAAAATGACAAGGGTAAAGGACTTCACGTTTAGGTATAGACTTTTTAGCCATTCCGAAGATGATCTATTCAGATCACAAATTGAAATAAGGTTCCAAGTTTTGTAGCACAGGTTGCATGTGTCTATGCTTTTGTGATTATTTGGACCCCAGCATCTTCAGGTATAAAATGAAGATGATAAAAGTATCTAGCTAACATAGTTGTATTAAGACTGCAGTCTCCAACTCCCAGGCTGTGGACCAGTACTGGTCTGTGGCCTGTTAGGAACTGGCCCCAGAACTCCACTGTCCCTACCCCTCCCTCCACTCTGGTCTGTGGAAAAATTGTCTTCCATGAAACTTAGGAACGCATTCCTCCGTCCACTGCAGGGGAGGTCGCACAGCAGGAGGTGAGCAGCTGGCCAGTGAGCATATTTACCATCCCCTCCTCATCACTCATCGCTGGCATCACCGCCTGAACTCCGCCTCCCCTCCACGCCCATCCATGGAAAAATTGTCTTCCGTGAAACCAATCCTTGGTGCCATAAAGGCTGGGGATCGCTGGTGTAAGATACATGTAAATTGCATAGAATAGTGGCGGGCATATAGCAAGAACTAATATGTTTTATTAATTGGGGGGTAGGATAGCCTAAAGGTTAAAAGAATGGGTTTTGGAATCAAGTTAGTTTTCATTTTTACCCTGTATCTTCTACTTCTTAGTTATATGAATTAGGCAAATTATTATGGTTGCAATTTCCTTATGTGTAGAATGGGCAATGAAATATATTAACATTGTCAGGTTATACAAATATGCAAGGATACTAAAACAGTGTAAAAATCTTAGTGCAATGCTTGGAATATACCAAGCAGCCAATAAAAAAACAGGTAGACGTGTAAAATAGATGATTGCAGAATGTGAGTCCGGAACAGAAAAAAAAAAATTCTTGGAAAGCCTCCAATGCAATCAGTGCTTCGATTTAAAACAGAGTAGCTGTTTCATCAATGTATCTATATAGCATGAGAAGGAGAATTAAAATCCTAATGTCATATTAAATCACTTCTGAGTGGTTTTGTTTGAGTCGTTACACTAAATTAAATAAAATTATTAAAGTATATAGAATTTCTCTTGTGCAAGCCATCAATATTGTGTTTTAGGAACATTAGCCAAGAGAAGAACAGCCGTTATAAATATTTTAGAATGTGTTGTTATTATTTACATTGACAATGAAATAATAAAAAAAAGGCTTCTCTTGAGGATTTTTGTATTCATTGCCATGAGACAAATATTGGCCAAGATGTTTGTCAGTGTTCAATGAAGTAGGATCATTTTTGATAATTATAGAAATAAGCTGTCAAGATGAGTGTTTAGCATTTTAAAAAACTGACCAACTTTTCATGGTAGTTGTCAATTGAAGATTGAATGAGGCAGATTTTCCAGAAACAAATATCATTACCTAATATTTAAAGACAATTTGCTATATTTCTGTGGATCTTGTTTATTGGCCTTTTTGATATTTGCAGTGGATCAACACCTGGCTGCATAAAAGAATCATTCTAGGATGGATATTTAAAAAGGAGAAGCCCACTTGGGGGCGCTACTTTTGGAATTTATAATTCATCAGAAAAAAAGATCAGAAATCTTTACTTACAAAAAGTATCTCGGATGATTTTGGTGATCTCCTGGACTTGGAAAATGCTGATGTTTTGGTCTAGTACATCTTTATTCCAGACCTAAAGAAATAGTGCATGAGATTTTAGTAAATCATTGCAAAGATTCAGATAAATATACTTGCTAATAATGTATATGTAAACTATTTGTAAATAAATCATTTTGCAGGGATTTTAATTTTGTGGCATTTATATAAGAACTTTAATCAATTACAGAAACAAAAGTTTGAAGAAGTGTCAGCTTAAAATTTAGATTTTTTTACATTGACATTGTCATACATTTGATATTTCTTAAAATATTTTCCACTGAGGTTCACTGTAGATAATTTTTAGTGGATATTTTTAAAGCACAAAATATTTATGTTTTATATTTTTGTCATTTGCTTCTTATACTAAATAGTCTGTATAGAATAAATTTATATATATTGAGTTAAAAATCTTTCTCTTGGAAACTATTATCTTATGAAACTTACGATTTAATTTCTCTCTCTTTTTTTAAGTGGGAGTATTTACGATACCTTACCGGCTCACGAGGTATTTATGAAGCAATATCCTAAAATATTTCTGCGCAAAAAAACCAGACTGCCTAAACTTTTCAAAGAGGAGGAACAAAGGTAATGCTATCTTCTTTTGACAGCAAGTCTGATGTCTGTGTGGGTGCGCTCGCTTGGGCACAAGTGAAACTCAGAAAGAAGCTAGAGCATTTGATCAGTTTCCAACACTCCACACTAGGGAGCACCTGAGCAAATGGAGATTAGTAGGTGAGGGCAAATTCATTTTCTTGTTGAGCAAAATACGTGTCCACCACTGAGGAACATGTTTATTTAAACTTTTTGTCAAAGCATTGTTACCTTTTACCAATGAATGGCAGTGTTTATGAAAGGAGTTAAAGTACTCTATAAGGTTTCCTGAGGAATTTCCCCATGGGAATGATTGGAGCATTTGTGGATGGAGGATATTTGGAAGTATGTTATGTATCAAGGAATAATGACAATGCCATAGAGCAACTGAAAGGCATTTGAGAAGTCTGTTTTACTGGGCTCCTGCTTCTAGGTGGACCTGTATTTAAATGTATTTCTTGTATTTTTAAAGGCAAAGAATGAGTTTACTTAAGTGTGTTGCAGAAGATGTGACTGCCAGTGATGGCGATGATGGAGATGGGTTGTCATTGATGGAAATAGGTTGCCAGATCACGTTGTGAGCTGCTGCTCTCAAATTGTCCTTGGCCTCATTGGAACTGGAAGGTTCTTTATCAGTGCAGCATCAGATCAAAAAAGGCAGTCTCTCTCCTTGAGTATCATCCAAATTGTTGTTCCTTGGGTATCTTATAGTGGATATGCAACTGCCCCAACCCTGCACTATTCAAGTAGAATTAATCTGTCCACATCCTCGGCCACTCTACTGCCCTAACACTGGATTGTATGCTGTATAACTTCTATTGCCACATTCATAAGATTGCATTTCACTTGTGTATTTACTACTAGTCTGTACTTGCATTTCTGACACTTAGTAGAGGGATTAACCCAGAATTGTCACTAATAGGTGTGTGTTGTCCCATGGGCAAACTACTTATTGGCTCTAGAAGAGAGTTGATCAAGAAAATGTTTTCATTTATTTATATCAACAATATAAAGATAAAAATTCAAATAAAATTATTGTAACAAATATCATTCCAAAGGTTGGAGGATATCAGCATGGGAGACATCAATCTGTTTCATTGTCCTAAGCCTTTCTTTTCTTTATAGCCGTATGGCAGTATTATGTGGAACATATCACATGAGTTAACAGGGAAAAACCTCTGGGAGATAGAGTTTCTCTGAATTTTCAAAACCAAGTCTGCTAACTTAATACAAATCTCATGAAAATGGAGATTCAAATATAGCATTTCATGAGACCTTGTCTACCATTTAGACCAAACCACACCCCTAGATAGTAAGCATGTCTGGAATGATCAGACGAAGTGCATACTGTGATTTATAAAATTAAATCACTCTATAGAAATATCTAATAAAAACATCATGTATTATTTTATTCCAAGTATACCCAATTTCTATTCCAGTCTTGTTGATTAGAATGAAACCTGTAAACTTAGCTCTGTCTATAGACTAAGGGATCAGGAGCTTTTATGGATAGCTGAAATGTTCATCTTGCTCTCATATTTATTCATTAATTAGACTAGCATGGGTTTACTACATTAGTTAAGACATTGTTTTGAGAGGACTACAGGGAGGCACACCAATAACTATGAACACATTTGATAATGGAATACCATCTTCATATTTTTAAGAAAAAAGGCTGAGACCTAATTTACTTCCCAGATAAGATGTATAAAAAAACTCTTTTTGGAAATTCTGATGAGTACTAGAATTCGGCTAATAATTGAGAATGCATTAGATTGAATGTGCAGTGCCTTGACTTAGAGTGTCTGTTTTGCCACCTCATCACTGCATAACTCAGGTGCAGCAAGTCCATCTGGACATAGTTACCTAACATCTAAAATGAAATACTTGTCTAGATGACATTCAAGCCTCCTTTTAGCTCTATTAATCTAAGGTTCCATTTTCTAGCTGATGTTACAGATACCATAGGGCGACACGTGTAATGAAGATAATATTTTTTGTATTATCTTTTGAAATATCTTCCCCTATGACTACTTTCCTCCCTGCACCTCAGGTGCTATCATCGTCTTAAAGAAAAGGCAAATACTAATTAAAGAAGGAGGAAGACATTCAATGGCAGCATATGGGAGAGTAGGGATATAGAAATGAAGGACGTGAGCTCCGCTCAAGGATTGTTGATCTTTACCCACTCCCATCCCTGGTATTAATCTCACAATGGGGAGATGAGAGGTAGAATTATCTAGAGAGCTACTGTGGAAGCTGCATCCTATAGGACAATGATAATCAATTCAGACTAGCAATTAGAATCACCTGGAGAGTTTTTCAAACATTTTGATGCCAGATTTCTGTCTACCCCACACTATATAAATTGTGGTCCCTGGCTTCAGGCCAGGACCTTGGTAATTAAAAAAAAGTAGTTGTAGGTGATTCTTGAGAATTACTGCTTTAGAGTAAGGCCTAAATTGGGCACAACGCAATATTCAACATGTAGTACAGAACTGGTGGAGGGAGATGCCTTGTGATATATCTGGGGTAAACACCAATGGTTCCACTTGGCCTGTGTCTAGAGTTCCCCTTCAACACTGGGGAGGAGAGAATGAGATGCTGATAAAGGACTGATGGGCTCTAGGACCCTGGGGAGTGGAAGAGCAGGCTGCTGAGGCAGGAATCTGATGACACAAGGGGAAGATAGTAAGAGTGGATGCAGCTGCAGAAACATCCAGCCATTCCTAGGTAGATACCAGCCTGCCAGCCACTCTGCCATAGAGGGCTCATAGGTGAGAGGAGCCCTTCCCTCTACCATAGTCATATAAGCAACCCCACTTTCCCCCAACACACACCCAATCCAAGTTCTGAAAGAATATGAAACAGACAGAAAATTTTCAAAGCTGAAGTTTTATTTACTTGATGGAAACAAAGTTATTCTAATTAAGCTGTTTCGAATTAATGCGACTGAGACACCACAGAATGGTATCAGGGATAGGAGATTTGAGAGCTCATGAGAAAGGTTTAGATTCTTTATAAGAAATAAATTATTTTCTTTGCACATTTTAGAGTTTAAGTAAACTTTCAATCCTGCTAATCTATTCAGGTATTAAAATACTAAAACTATATCCATATAAAGAAGAATCAGAGTAAAATGCCCTTTAGCAATGAGAAGGCTGCAGAGGTTCCTGTCTGTATAATATCTAGGATCCTAATTATTCACTTCTTGGGCTAGCTGATGGTTGTGGTACAGCTAGCATGGAATCTGTCATGACTTATTTTTAAGAGAAAGACAAATTTCATAGATCAATGGAAAAGGAAATTCCATTAAAAAGGAAATTTCATAGATCAATGATAGTGAAAAATAAACAGCCCCCTTCAGACCCTCAGCAGAGACTTAACCCTGACTATAGAGGAGCGAACAATGTAAGCAAATAAAAATACAGGTAGGATTCATTTGTATTGTGTTCTAAAAAGACATATTGTGGAGTACAGTAGCATCAACTCTCCTTGTGTTGTTAAAAGAAAAACTTTAGACCAATCAAATTTAACAGTTTATTTGAGCAAAGTATGATTGATGAAGCAGGCAGCACTCAGAACCAGAGAAGTTTAGAGAGCTCCACCTAGGCCTGGGAGCAGGAGCTTTTATAAGCCAAACAAGGTAGCAAATTACAGCAATCACCTGATTGGTTCCAGCAAGGTATCTGCCTTATTTGGGCATAGTATGATGAGACATTCACCTTATTTGGGCATATTTGATCAGTTGGCTGCTGTGAATTGGCTGAAGCTCTGCTGTTTGTTATTGCCTGAAACCCAGCTATCTGTTACAAAAAATATACTCCCGAGTTAGGTTTCTGTTTGTTTATGTGCTAAGTTAGGTTGCATTTCGTTGTTTAGCAACTCGAAGTACTGAACAGCCTCAGGCTAATGGCCTCCTGCTTATTTAATTTAACAACGGGAATTTATTATTTAAAACGTAATTATTAAGTATTTACAGAGCCAGCATTACAGGGTGTCATTACGGCAGTCCATGACAGAAAGTTGGCTTTGCTCTCAAAGTGACTTTCAATAAACTTCAGATCAGTGCTTTTCAGACTTTAATATGTGCATGCACAAATTCCCCTGGGGGAGCTTATTAAAATTCAGATTCTGAGTCAAAGGGTCTTGGGTGTGGCCTGAGAGTCTGTTTTCCTAAAAGCAACCAGCTGATACTGATGCTACCATTTGAATAGCAAGCCTAGAGATGACTATTTGATGTGTCTGAGAATGTGAAAAAAAAATCAGTAAACTGCAACTTTTCTATTGGGAAAAGTTTTTATTGGGAAAATTTAGCCCACATTTTAAAATATTAATTCATTCATCTATGGACTTATTTCAATTAGATAAACCACAAAGCTGTGTATGGTCCTTGGTCATAATATACTCCTTTTATTAAATTTAGTAACAAATTGCATGTTGCACTTAATACACACAGCAGGAAAGTTTGGAATTACTTTGGTATATTTTTATTCAGGACATTTTAATGAAGTCCAACCAGTATATATTATTTTCAATCGTTCCATTTTAATTAGGCACAGAATCAGATTTTTACAAAAAGAGGGAAGAAGAGGCAGCTAGCTATGTTTAAAAGGAGTTTCCAGGTTTATAACTCATCCAGGTAACAGTAATATTTTGTGAAATCATTTTCTTTTAGTTTGTGTTATGTAACTTAAAACTTGGTAATTTGAACTGGAAAAAGCAAAGGGATTTTGGCAGTGCACATATGGTGTGCTCCTTCTTCCACCAGTCCCAGGACTTCTCTCAGAGTATCCTCTAATGTTCCCCAAACAGCCTGACTAGACGAGGTCCATCGGGGATGTTTCTCATGGGCTCAGAAATCCGTATGCTCAGTCAGCCAAATTACCAGTCACTCCAAAAGCTGTCAAAGTGTTTTGTGCAAGAATTGATGCTTAAGTTTGGACTTCAGATTTTCAAGAGGCTAGGACATCCCAGCTGTTTGAATTGAATCT